CACACACACACCCCAACAACAACAACAACAACTCATTGCTGGTTGGAGGCTTTTAGAAACCAGTTTAGGCAGTCCGTTTTTTTCAGCCATTCTTTGGTATGCAACCTAGAGAGTCTAGGCATTTCTTCTAAATCAGGAGGTTCTATTGGGCAGGTTTAAGTAGAAGCCACAAGTAAATACCTATGCTTCTAATAATAATAATATTTATATGTAGCTTACTATGTGCCAGGCACTGTGCTAAGAACTTTACGAATATCATTTCATTTGATAAGGGTTTCTCAAACAGTATGCACTACTAACAGCCGAAGTTAATAGAGACACTTTGTTCACCCTCTCTGCAAATTCCCACATCTTCCTTTCTCAAATTCAGCACCATGCCTAATCTTTTCTTTGCTTCTTTTTCTATCAAGGCTGATAAGAGAAGCAAGAGAGCAGTCAGTCCTCCAAGGAGGAAGGAGAAAGTGGTGACTACTCAGTTAATCATAAAGTAGTCTCAGTCAAGAAAATAAGGAAGGGCTTGTAAAAATCGGAGATTGAATACAGATAATCTGATGTCACAGAAAAATATATTTAAGTGAAATTTGCTCCCAGGAAGGTAACTTAGTTCCAGCTTGGACTTCCCATTTTATGTCTAAACAAAAGCAGATTTACAACTAAATTTGAGCTTCAGGCCTACGTTGGGGTGCACCGATGGGTCTGTGAAGTATTCTAAGTATCACATGAGTTTACATGGGAGATCTTGAAGTTCCTCATTATCACCAGAATTGCCCTGGCACAAATCTACCTCTCTGTGATCCCCACCTGTTTAATATCTGGAAGTGGGCTGATATCACTGGGTCTGAACCCAAAGCAGCCCCTTGAAGAGAGAAATTGAAGAAGAGTGTGAATCTCTACTCCCATTGTCTTACTTATGTGTCAGACTTTTGAATGCAGGTGCAGAAGCAGAAGACAGAAGGGTAGAATGTCACTTCTAGTGGTATACTATCAAAACTTGAAGCAACTAACGGAATCAGCATTCCAGGTAAAAATATATGATTGGTGTCTGGGGAGGCTCAAATAAAGCCGAAACTCAGAAAGATAAATCGCTAAGGAAACAGATTCCTCTGGAACCCCAGAAAATTGCATCTAAGACTTCTCTCACAGCCTGGGTATTTATGTACAAAGTGAAAAGGGTAGAGTAGCCCCATCATTGTGTATGACATGAAAAAACAAATAATGTGGGAGGACCAGTATGTGTATGGTACATAAATCCTAACAACTGTCCTCATTGCCCCAAGAGCAAAAAAAGCAAAGTCACCTGGTCCATGATACGTTAATAAGTGGCTCTGGGTACTGTTTCTAGCTCTGATGAAGCAAACCTTCAGGTGTGTTGTTATTGTTGCTTCGTTATTTCAATCATTTCTGATTCTTTATGACCCCATCTGGGGTTTTCTTGGCAAAGATACTGGAATGGTTTGCCATTTCCTTCTCCAACTCATTTGACAGATGAGGAAACTGAGGCAAACAGGGATAAGTGTCTTGTCCCGGATTACACAGTCAGTAAGTGTTTAAGGCCAGATTTGAACTCATCATGATGAGTCTTCCTGGCTTCAGTCCTGGCACTCTATCTGTTTTGCCACGTAGCTATCCTTGGGTAAAGCAAGTCGAACTAATCAGGGTTATTCTTCTGGTTTTTAAAGTTAGCTAGCTTAGGAACAATCATATTGCCTATCATTAACTTAAAGAAAATTGCTATTATGGTGACTGAGATTAACTCCGAAAGATTAATGTTGAAAATGATACATATAATTCACTTTAAAGACAACCTCATGAATCAGCATGCTGACCTCCTCAGGCCAAAATATTAACAAGCGTATAATGCTTTGCTGTTTTTAATAGTTTCTGCCACAGCATGATGCCAAAACCAGAAAAAAAAACGAGAATATTTATAGGTACTAATAAGAACACACACATGTATCAATGTACATACATTTTTGCATACATATGTATGTATAATGTATCTTTGAAGCTAAAAGAAAATCTAAATTTAAAATTAAATTTCAAAGAAAAATACAGAAGAATAAAACGATATCAGAACTCTTTGCTGAAGTCATCCCCTGAGTTCTATTTATTTTCTCACATGAGAACAAATACATTAGTTACATGTTGAGAGACAGGAGGCATCATTGAGTATACTCCAGCAGATCTGCACATCTGCCATCGACTTGGCTAGGACTAGTAGAGACCCAGCTTGACCTGAAAAGATGAGGATTAAATCCTTGTAATTTGACTTCCAGCCTCACCACTTGACTAAACAGCTTTCTCTAAGGCAGCCCTATATAACATATAACCCACGGGCTACTTATGGCCTACCAGAGGATTTCAGGCGCCCACGATAAAATGTAGAGGATGTAAAAGAGAGTAAAGATGTAAGTAAAGAGGGGCTTTGCCCATGCCTCTCTTAATCTACCTTCCACTAGTCACTGTTGTGCCCATCACATAACGTGTCGGGTGGATTGCCACTGCACACCTTTCCTGTTTATCATGTGACCCACGGCAACCAACCATCATCAGTCTGTCTCTAGTCTGCAAGGGGTGATTTCATGATAAAAATCTTAAGTATAAGTGTGATTAATTGATATTAACTGAAATTTCTCTTTTTTCAATATGGTTCATTTGTAAAATAGTTTAATTATTAGTTGTGTCTTTACGTGCAAAGTGAGCCACTAAGGACCTCTCTGCAGCTCAAAGTTTAGCCTATTTTAATTGTGGTCCCTACCTACTGCCAAGTTGTGCAGGTCTGCTCTAAGGGTACCAGTGATCTTTTAATTGCTAAACACAATTGCTTTTTGTTAGTCCTCATCCTTCTTGACCTCTCTGCAACATGACACCAAAGGATCTTCCTTCCTGGACTTTAATAACATTGCTCAGTACTGGTTCTCCTCTGACACCGCTGCTCAGTTCTCTTTGCTGGATCCTCATCTCTATCTATTTCCTCTGTCTCTGTCTATCTGTCTCATTTTGTCTGTGTCTCTGTCTCTGTCTCTCCATGTCTATCTCTCTATGAGTCTCTCTCCATTCTCTGTCTCCCTCTCTCTGTCTTTCTCTCTCCTCTCTGTTTTTCTTTCTCTATTTCTGTTTCTCCCTCTGTCTCTCTCTTTCTCTGTCTCTCTTGCTATCTACCTATCTCATTGCTTCCATGGGTTCAATTATCATCTCTATGCATCTCCAAAGTTGACATATCCTGCCCTAGTTTTTCTCCTGAGCTTCAGGCTTGTATCACCAACTCTCTGTTGGAGCTGGTGATGTGAGTCCTCCAGTCTTCACCTGGGTGTCCCACTGACATCCCACTGACATGTCTGAAACATAACTCATTATTTTTTACCCCAAATTCACTGACCTCCTAAATTCCCTGTTCCTGTTAAGGATACCACTTTCCTTCCAGGCATTGAGGTTAACAGTACTGTGGAGTCATCCTATTTTCTTCACCCATGCCCACCTCCCACCAATCATGCTGATACAACTCCACAGCATTCCCCACGTTAATTCTCTTTTCTCCATTTGATTGGTCACTACCCCAGTTCAGACCCTCATCACCTCTCACAATATCCTCCTAACTGGTCCCCTTGCCTTCAGACTCTTCTTTCTTCAACCTATCCTCCACATGGCTGCCGAATTGACAGTCCTAACGCATACATCACTCCCTGCTCAAGAAGGTCCAGTGGCTTCCTGATTTCTTCTACACGCAAATACAAACTCTTATGTTCAACATTTAAAAGCCCTTCACAATCTACTATCTTTCCAAAATGATTTCACACTATTTCCCCTCATGAACTCTGTTCCAGCTAAATTGGCTAACTCATGATTCTCTAAATGAGACATTCCATCTGCTATCTGTCTATTACATTGGCTGTTTTCCATGGCCAAAGTGCTCTTCCTCCTCACCTCCAACCCTTGGTCCTTTCAATCAATTAATCAATTAACATTTATTAAGTGCCTGTGACGTGCCAGGCAAATGCTAGCTCCTTTGAAGCCTTTCCTGATCCTTCCCTTCACCCCTAGCTGTTAGCATTGTATCCCACTGCCCCCCAAAACAACTTTGTATTTATTTTGCAAACGTTTTGCATTTGAGTATCAATATGTGTGCTGTTTTCCCATAGGAATATAATCTCCTAAAGGGCAGGAAATGTTTCCTTTTCATCTCTGTATTCCCTAGCACTTAGCACAGCTCCTGGCACTAAATAAATGCTTATTGTATCTAACTGAATCCAGAATCAATATGCCAAAGCAAAATCACATTTGAAATTTGAAACAATCCAAAACCTGCTCTCCAAATGGGTTAAATGTGTGTGACACACATGTTCATTATTCACTAATAGGGAGAAGTAAATGCCAGCTACTTTTCAGATGAGTTCAACTGAATGATCTATTTCTTATGTGTGATGATTATAAAACTATATCTGGAAGAAGTTTTAATTTCTACTGCGTGTGGCAATTTATAAAGCTTCACACACACACACACACACACACACACACACACACACACACACACACACACACACACACACACTACAGCTATGATGCTTGAGAGGAAAATGAAGTTTTCCTTCAAAACAAGTATAACCTTGGAGAGTTTTCTCCTTTATGGCAAGGGAGAGGAAAAGTTTAAGACTTCTGAGTTAAGTGCCTAAAGAACTGCCCCCTTTTTAATTTGCCAAGTTTTTTAGGGTAAGTCAGTACTGGGGTGATGTCATCTGTTATCTCATACTTAGTGGTGTGGTCTCTCACGCTTAATTAAGCTGATTCCCTTGTTTTCTGCCTAGACGGCACTCCCCAGCCTGCCTGTTCTCATCGGCTTTTTTTCAGCCAGCAGAAAGAGCAGCCCCCTTCCAGCAGTGGAAGAAAGAGGAAGTGTCTCAACTTCTAGCCGCAGTGGGACCTCTAGTGTTGACTCTCTGTCCTGGCACAGTCCTCTGAAGTACAAACACACAGACTGTTCGTTGTTTGGAGCCCTTCACCAGCCCACTCATCCTAATATGGAATGCAGCAGGAAACCCATGATTTCCTGACACTTAGTAAGCTGGAGAAAGAGAGGAAAAACTCCATTTGAAAAAAAAAATCCCGGCTTTCCTCCATGTTAGATGTGAAATGGAAAATGGGAAGGATTTAGAAGAAATCCCTGGTGTCTCCAGCCAAGTTGGAGAAAGGGAAGAAAGAGCGAAAGCTTCAGGCTGCTATCTTTCAAGATCACAGTAAACACCCAGATCTCTAGGAAAATGAGGGTGTCTTGATTCAAACGGACAGGGGAAAGACAAGCTATTTTATTTTTCTTTCAAAGTGGACATTCCCTTTCTTTACCAGCATGGTGAAATGAGAGGGCAAACAGCAGCAACCTGGAAAATGTTAAGTCTGAGCCAAGAGTACCCAGCTAAGTGAGGGTAAACACAACCTGGGCGCTCACTCGGGTTTTTCTTCATGCGCTCCTAGAAGAACTTGGAGAATCAGGAATAGCCCCAGTAAGAATGAATTGCAAAGAGGAACGAGAGCAAAGTGGCTGCCCCAGCGAGGAGGAAGTGAAGAAACCACTAAAGTGTGTGGTGGTCGGAGATGGTGCAGTGGGGAAAACCTGCTTACTGATGAGTTACGCCAATGACGCCTTCCCAGAGGAATACGTGCCTACGGTGTTTGACCACTATGCAGGTAAGGACAACTTTTTGTGACGTGCGGAAAACATACAATGACCATCACTGTGCTTAAATAATCGAAAGGGGGAAAAAATGTTCCTTATTCTAACAAATGTATTTCAGCCACTGTTCTGTAATTGTCTAATAAGTGATGACATAAGGATTAATGAAGAGGAGGAAGGAGAGACAGACAAATTATCAGAGTTCGAAGAGACCAGTCTTCTCGGATTTTTATGAGATTCAGGAACGGAAGTAAGCGAGATCCTTAAGCCTTGATAAACCAAGGAGAACTAGTAAATCGATTTATGTCACTTTCTTTTTTTTATTTTAAGCAACTATAAGTGTTGGAAAAATTAACCTAAGTTTCCATTTGGGTTCGTAGGCTATAGCCATAAGTTTGAAGGATCGTTTGTTTTAAAACGGGATCCTTTGAAAACCCAACATTATTTCGGCAGCATTTCACACATACCCCCCCAAAAAAAAAACTTTTATCCATATGTTTTGCATAAAAATCTTCACTCTGTAACTTTTTTTCAAGTGATATTGTGTAAAACACTTCACAAACTTTAAACCACAATATAAATTATATTATTATTCATAATATATTGGATCATTCAAATGTTTGTCCATGTATGTTAAGCAAAAATTTATGAACACCATCACTGAATGAATTCATATTTCTAACACAGCCATCAGCAACCCAAAATTTTTACTTTGTCATGTGAATTGATATATAAGAATAAAAGGGTTGATATAGGTATTGTCTACCTACCATATATCTTGAAGCAAAGGAAATAATATTTTATTTTTTATTAATAGTCACATGTCATAGTAGAAAGAGCACTGCTTTTCAAGTCAGAGGACTTGGGTTCAAATCTTGCCTCTGCCCTGTAGTCCCAAAATTGCTTGGTCACTTACCTCTTGAACTTAATTTCTCCTTCTAAGCAGTTGTACTGAATATCCCCAAAGTCCCTTCTAAATCTAAACCTATGGTCCCGTGACAAAAGCTTAGAATGTCCAATGGGAAAAGCAGAGCAGACCAATTCAAAATTAATGGAACATCTGTTAAGCACGAAATACTGTGTAGGGCAGAAAAGAATTACAAAGCATTGTCATTTGTAAGGTTGTATAATGTAAAGAGTAGTGGATTTAGAACCGAAAGTCCTGGGTTCAGATTTTGACTTTGCCACTTACTTCCTGCGCACCCTTGGCAAGGTGTTCAGTCTCTCTGTGCCTCCAATCCCTAATCTAAACCATAAAGAGACTGAATTAGGCCCCTTCTAAAGCTCCTTCCACTTCTGAATCTATGTTCTGGAAGTGCTTGAGTCAAAAATATCATTATTTTAACTGATTTATGCTTTCCAGGATGTTCTGAAGTAAGGATATGAACAGTCCGTTTAATTAGAAACAACTACAATGTTACTTAAACTTTTACATTCAGATGCCTACTTTTCCTTATGATTTAGCATTCCATAGCAGATTATAGGATCTAGGATATGAGAGCTTCAAGAAACTTCAGATCTCATTAGACTCTTCAAAAGCACATCAGTAAAAATCCTTCAAACTATATCCCTTAGGATACTACTTCTAAACAATATTCTCATGATAACATCTTTTCAGAGATTTGGGATTTTGCAATAGGAAAAATTTATCTATGTGCACCTTGGCTTTAGGTCAGGTTTAGCAAAAGGGAAATAGCCAACAGGAAACCTGAGAGTAATTGTTTGGCTTGCTCCATGACCAACTGAAGCCCTCTTTCCATAGGAAGTAGCCTCTTTTCTAGAAATAAACAATCACCTAAGTCACCTCCTCCACCTTCATTCAAGTGATTTATGGTCTGCATTATGCAGAAGATAAAAACAACACATTCCTCTCCAATCCCATCTCCCCAAACCCACAGTGAAAATAACTGGTCACTTCTCAATAGAACTCTTGCTATATTTGCAAAAACCTAAAAACAAAACTTTGTTCGTGATTCCTCTAAGCCCTTTCTGAAAGCATAATTACTTGCATGAATCCCAAAAAATATTTTAACAAGAATAGCATACAGAAAAGAATGGGTATGTCATCACCTTGACAATGTAAATGATTTTAACAAATTGAGTGCCTAAGCCTTGCCATGTGTCTACAGAAAGTTACTTACAGTCCAGACTCTACTAAATTGAGGCAAACTTCCTTTTTGCTGCAAAGACCATTCTTATCAAATGATAAGAATTTTCTTTCAGAAAGCTACAAAGTAAAGGAAGAATCCAGACACTGAGGAAATCAGCTCCAATCATTTATTTGTAAAAGTCATATTTAAATGTCAATCTGCTATCTCAACCATATTCCAAAACAAACTGGGATTGTGAGGCAAAAAAAAGAGAAAGAAACATTTTTAAGAAGTAGAAATGGCCAAAGAAACATGAGATTACATATTATTAGAATGTAATGATTCTAAGACTTATCTACAGAATCTGTAATGATTCTAAGCTCTAGATCTAGAGTCAGAGATCTGAGTTCAAATCCAGCCTCAGACACTTACTACTTGTCTTACTGTTATAAGTATAACTTTCTAGTTATACACTTATGTATTTTATAGGAGACATATATCTTTATTGAGCATTTACTACATGTAAAAGGGGGCAGCTAGGTGGCACAGTGGAGAGACTGCTGGGCCTAGAATCAGGAGGGCCAGAGATCAAGTTCAGCTTCAGACGCTTAGAGTTGTGTGACCCTGAGCAAATCACTTCACCTCTATCTGCCACAGTTTCCACATATGTAAAATGGGGATGATAGCTATAAAGACAAAATGAGATAATATTTGAAAAGTGATTTGCAAACTATAAAGTGCTATATTAATTAATAATAATAATATCATTATACGGCATGGTCAGATTAGGTTTTCTGAAGGGGTTTGTTTACTGTTTGCCTATCTACAAAGCCTCTAAAATGAAATATAGCCCCTAACACAGCATCTTACACATAGTTTTTGTTGTTGTTTAGTTGTTTTCAGTCATGTCCAAATCTTTGTGACCCCTTTTGGGGTTTTCTGGGGAAAGATACTAGAGTGGTTTGCCTTCTCCTGGTCATTTTACAGATGAGGAAACTGAGGCAAACAAGATTAAATGACTTCCCCAAGGTCACACAACTATTAAGTGTTTGAGGCTGGACTTGAACTTGGACCTTCCTGATGCCAGGCCCAGCACTTCATCCACTGTGCCACCTAGCTTCTCCCTTACAGTAATAAATACTCAATTAACATATGTCTCCTTTAAAATGCATTAACCTTTGAAGTGTACCGGTAAACAAAAGGTGCTAACTCAAGTAAAAATAGTTAACAACTCCAAAGAATAAAAGGGACTTGAAACCCCACCTCTCACTATCTGTGCCACCTTGGGCAAGCTATTTAACTTCCTTAGATGTTAGTGACTTCATCTGTAAAGTGAAAGCTTGGACTAGATAACCCTACAGTTCCTTCCAACTCTACATCTTTGATCTATGATGATGATGGTGATTGGAGAGGAAATGCAGTGTGCAGTCGTAAAGAGAGCCTCGTACTACAGAAAGCCCATTGAACAGTGATTGCTAGTTCTAGACTGTTGACTCCATAGCAGCAAGGACTGATTTCATCTTTGAAACTCCGCTCCTCTCACACAATATTAACTTCCCTTTAAATTGTAAAACAAAATTCCAGACAACACTTGGGAGTATGGAAAGAGATATTGCAAAAATTCCATGAGTATTGTCATTAAAATGTGATCATCTCCTATATGGTAAAATGAAGGCATTTCTCCCACTGCCATACTCCCATATGTCTTCATTTAGAATGTGAACTGAAAGAGCACATGTGATTATAAAATGAAAGACACTGAAGGAAATGGGCATAAGGTGGAATACACAGGCTGTCAATTCGTCATTAGAAAGATTTTGGGGATAGTGATGGTTATTAGACCTGGAAATGGGTGAATAGGGAAATAGGGAAGTGTATGGAATCTCCAACTCAGATGTCCTTTAAAAAATAGATTTTGAAGCATGTTTAGTTATGGAACTATCTGTTGGCAGTGGAATAGCCTCCCAATGCCACTTCTCATTCTGAGGCCAAAACTACCCCTTTCTCTAGGCGTTCTTATTTCCTAAGAGGACTCTCCAAGTATAGGGTTTCTGTTTTTGTAATTGAGCCAAACATAAATTACGTCTTTGATTATAAGGTGGAGGTGGTTAGAAGAAAATGGCAGGCCAAGATACATAATCAATTCTATAAACCCGAAACAATACGAGTAGAATTTATTAATTTCCCACATACTACATTTACACAAGCACATCCACAATACAAGGTGAAATAAATTTCCAAAGTCAATTTCTAATCCATACATTCTCCCCAACCTTCTCTAGTTAGACTTAATGGAAACTTCCAGATACCTCACAGAGTGATAGTCACCATTACCCAGAAAGATTCTTCTTTCCTCTCAGTCCCCATTCTCACCCACCCATGATCTAACTGAGTATGAATCTTTATCCAAAAACACACCAAATTTTATACCTCATCACAGGATAATGCCCTTTCAATTACTTGGAAACAATATTCCCTCTCTGGTTGTGATCAACCTCTTGATTCACTTTGAAGAAATAACTTTCAGTTCAAATGTTCAATATATTTTGGCTCGTCAAAAACTTATAGTTAAATGATAAAGAAATCACTAGATAGGAGCCACCCTTCTAAATCCTATTAGCCCTCAGCTAAATTGAGATGTTGACAGTGTGGGCTGGATGCTAGGCATAGGGCCCCTAGTCTTATGAATATCTCTAGTATTTCATAAACATTTGTTGAATTGAAAAAGGATTGAATGTTGTATCATCCAGAATCTAAGTTGAGAAAATATAATTCCTTTAATATTTCCCAAAGGAGATATAAACAAGTTCATGTATACTATGAAATAATTTGATTGCCAACAAATCTGTTCTGTCTTCATAGTGAGTCAGAATTTTAATTGGATAATAAATGAGATTTCTGTATAGATAACTAGAAATACCATA